ACCTATGGCAGGCACAGCATACCATGTCCTTGCGATCTGACCAGGTCAGTTCTGCACACTCTCTACTGAATGGTTCACTGCGTGTCTCTGACTCTGTCTCTTTCAACACCTCCCTCCCAGTGACAATAATCTTTCTTCTTAATAATACATGGGATCATCTAAATCCTTAAGAGGCAAATTAAATGGTTATCTTCCAAGTGATCAACTCTGTGAACCTCTCTGACAGAAGAGTTAGCACATTGTCATAACACTAAATTACCACTTTTGTGGTAACCACCAAGATGGCTTGGGGGTTCAAACTTCTTAGTCCATTGTCTTTGGGCTTGCTTTCTTTAATGCATGTTTATGGCACATTTGTCAAAGACTTATTGGCAATAGTTATTTGGGCTTCTAGGAGGCCTTTTTTTTTTTATTGGGAGGGGGTTACTTTGGGTAGATCTAAGATGTGAATTTTAAGTAGTGTGAATTATGGTACGTTTTTATGGAAGAAAACATTTATTTGAGTTTATGGTTCCAGAGGGTTAGGAGTCTGTCATGGCAGCAAGTGGCAGGCATGGTGGTAGAAGTTAAAAGATGAAAGCTTTTGTCTTCAACAGCAAACATGAAACAGAGAGCAAACTGGAAGAGGGACAAGCTGTGAACTCATTTTATTCCCCCTTTTAAATTGAATTTTTGTGAATTTCATATAATATACTTTGATCCTATTTAGATCCCCTTCCCATCCACACCCCACCTTACTACCCTCTACCCAATTTCATGTACTCTATTATATATAATAAAGCCTATAGAGTCTAATTTGTGTTCACAAATGTCCTTCAGTGTGGGCCCATCCACTGTGGGCTAACCCCCGTTAGCCTACCAAGAGTCACATCTTCAAAAGAGACTGACTTTCCCTTCCCAGCATGCATCAGTTCCTCAGGTAGGGATGAGACTTCCTACCCATTTCCCCACATCTATTCTGGTATTTTGTCTAGCTTGAGTTTGCTTGGAATATCTGCATGCCTTTGTCATTGTCGTGAGTTCATATGAGTAACTTCCCAGCTGTCTGGAATACTCCTGTTTCCTGCAGTCATCAACCGCTTCTGGCTCTTACAATCTTCCTGACCCTTTCTTCTGCAATCATGCCTGAGCCTTTTGAAATTTTAGATTTTATTATAGTATGCTGTTCATAGTTTAGAAAAACAAGTTTTTGAAACTTAAATTTAAGCTTTGTTAAATTAAATTCAGAGTGCCATTGAAATGTAAAATGATATAATCACACTACTAAGGAGGGAACTCTGTGCAGTGGTCTGCATGTTGTAAGAACTTTCCATTCCTTCTGTGGAGAGCACAGACTTCATGTTTGTGTGCGAGCACTGGGCCTTATTTAGCTTATTGCTTTGTTACTATTTCTTGAGATTTATTTATTTTCATTTATGTGTATGTGAATGTGTGCCTGCATGAGTTTCTGTGTATCATGTGCATGCAGGTATCTTCAGAGGCCAGAAGAGAATGCAAATCCCCTGGAACTGGAGTTACAGGTGGTTGTTAGCCATCTGACAAAGGTGTTTGGAACCAAACTTGGGTCCTCTTCAAGAGTAACAAGTGTTCTTAACTGCTGACCCATCATACCAGTCTTTTTTTTTTTTTTGACCATTTATTCATCATCCTTGTCCAGCACTGAGATAACGTGTCTCCAAATACTCAAGGATACCTCTGTCTAGATCTCTGGAGATCTTTACCCTCCTTCCTTTTCCTCTTCCCTTCCTTCCTCCCTCCCCCGCTCCCTCCTTCCTTACTCTCTGATATTCTTCCCAGGAAGTTTATTCTCTTTCGCTCACCTGAACTTTTATCTTGGTCTCCTTAATTTAGTAACATCATCAGTCTCTGTGAGTTTTCTCCTCCTTGGACTGTGGTCTGGAAAGTTCTGTAAGCATAGCCTGGGGCAGTGCTAGGGCTCACCTCATTTCTTTCCTTTCTTTAGAGCATCTTTGTCCTCTGCTGTGAATTTTGCCCAGTTTCTCAGTTATGAAAGTCAGGAGGACACCACTAACTTAAAAAAATTTACATTTTTATTGTATGTGTATGAGTGTATTGGTTGCATGTTTCTAAGTGCACCCATGTCATGCAATGCCTGAAGAGGTCAGAAGGAGGCATCAGATCCCCTGGAACTGGAGTTAGGGATGGTTGTTAGCTGTCATGTGGGTACTGGGATTTGAACCCAGGTCTTCTACAAGAACAGCCAATGCTCTTAACTGCTGAGCCATTTCTCCAGCCGATACCATTGATTTTGTCAGTTCACCTGCACCCAAGAGTGGAAGCTCCAATATGTTAGAAATTAGACAAAAATTTCAGTTGTAAAAAATTATAAACCTGAACCTAAATAAAGTTGTCATTTCTTAGAATCACTAATTATTGTGTTCTGAATTCATAAATACTGGACATGTCCTATTTCTTAGAAGTTTTTACTGTATTGGAATAAGTTATTTTTAACATTTACAAGTAAGGAGGGTCAAATTTGGATTGTGAATATTCCTGAAAAGTTGATGTGGTGTGCAAGTTGGTTTTAATAAACCAGGAGTGCACCTGATTACATTTGAAATAAAACATGGCCAGGATACTTCCATAACACCGACAGGGAAAAGTCTAATTATCCAATATGAACATCACATATTTTGTATTAATTTAACAAATACTGAAAATTCAAAGGTGAATAAGAAATTGTTTCTCCAGGTTGTGAAAACCATATTCTATAAAAGAAAACAAGTTGAGCACAGTGACTCATGGCAAATAGCCCGTTTCTCAAAGAGTTGAGATAGGAGGATCTCTGTGACTGTGAAGTCAGCCTGGGCTACAGCTTGAGACTCAGCCTCAAAAAAATTGAACCAAACTGAACAACAACAAAAACTCATAAAAAGTAAACAGACTTCCTAATGACTATAGTGAAGTAAGATACGATAGGGTTTCAGGATAAGGATAGTTGAAGGACATGTAAAGTGCTACAGAGAAAAGAATGAAAGGGATAAGATACTGAATTTCCTTTATGCAGAATATGACCTTCCATCTCCTCGCTGAGGAACCAGCAGAGGACCATGCAAGTGCTATGGGGCCACAATACAGTTCCTGGAAAAAGAGCTCTTGCAGAAGAGTGCTAGTGAGCATTCGTAATTCAGAGCAGTCAAAGCTACAGCTGAAATGTAAACAGTCAATGGTGTGGAGAAGAAGGGATGTTCACTCCACCATGTGAGTGATAAGGGAGGGCTTCGAGAGACTCATTCTCAGACAGGGAAAGGACTTGTTGCAGAGAGCATCACCATTCAGGGAACACTTGGTAATAGCATGAGGCAAGACAAGGGTGCAAAATGGGAGCTCCTGGGGAGAGGAGACCGCAGAGGTGGTAAGGGGTGGGTACCAAGAGCTGGCCGTGTTCTGCTATGGTGTTTGGAAGGAAATGGAAAACACTGAGAGATTGTGTGTGTTGATGTGTGTGTGTCTGTTGATGTGTGTGTTGATGGGTGTTTGTATGTGTATGTGTATGCATGTATAATTAAAAGGAGAAAGTAGTGATAATCTAGGTTTTAGAAAGTTACTCCAATGTGAAGCGAAGCATGAATGCAATGACATGGGGAGCAGAAAGACCATGGAAGCTACGCTGTTTAAGTGACCTGGGGGACAAATGATGAGGTACTGCACCAGGTAGTGGAGAAATTGGAGCTGAGGAGCTGAGAGGTTACAGAGATAGCCTGGGACATTACCTAGGAGATTGATAAAAAGACTTGATGCCCACTTGGCTAGGGATGGTGCCATGGAGGGTCCAGTCTATGATAACTTAGAGTTTTCTGGTCCTTTGGCCAGTTGTATTCCATAAGGCCTGTGACTTCTAGGAAGGGTCACTTACTTCCAAAAGTGTTTGCCTGTCAGTGAGATGAAAGGAAAAATAGCAGAATTGTATTTGTACTTTTCTGGCCATTTTTAAGTTTGTTTTTGTGTGTCTTAGAAAGAAACAAACTTACACTGTAGGTTATGCATACAGTTTAAAATAATGAATACCAGTGTATAGGAGGGCATGCTCAGGTATTTTGTTACCTGAATGTGTGATCAAAAAGCTGCGGAATTGTGGCTGGAGAGATGGCTCAGTGGTTAAGAGCACTTGGTACTCTTACAAAGGACCCGGGTTTGGTTCTCAGCAGCTAACAACCTTCTGTAACTCCAGTTTTAGGGTATCTGATGACCTCTTCTGTCCTCTGTGGGCATTGTACAACACTGGTGCATGCGTGCACACACACACACACACACACACACACACACACACACACTTAACAACAAAATTAATTCCTTTTTAAAAGTTTGGGAATTTTGAGACAAATAAGAACAGATTTGGGTGTTCTAAAAATGAGATGATTATAGAACATTTAGGTAATAACTTGTAAACTAAGTCTACCCTGTCCAATAGAACTTTCTAAAATCATAAAAATGTTCTAAGTGTGAACTGTCCAGTACAGTACTCAGCAGTCACATATGGCTAATTCAACTTAGAGACTGAAATTTTCTTTAAAAAAAAAAATTGAATGCGTTTGAGTTTAAGTAGTCATGTGTACCTAATGACTGCAGGATTTGAAAGCACAGATTTAAAATGTAGACTTTCAGGAGCAGAAGAGATGGCTCAACAGTTAAGAATACTTGCTGCTTTTATAGAGGAACAGGGTTTGGTTTCCAGCACTCATGTTGGGCAGTGCACAATGGCTTGTAACCCCAGCTCCAAGGGATCTAAAGCCTCTTCTGGCCTCTACAGGTACCTCTGCATTTGTGCCCATACACATATGCACATAAATAAAAATGAAATAAATATTTTGAAAATATCTTAGACTTTCATTTTCTGAGTACTTCAACTAGCTGAGCGCTTTTATCAACGTTTTAAAGCAGCTCAGTGATCCTAACTAGTCTATATTATGTCTGATATTAAGAGAAGGAATTGGGTATTCACACATCTTTCACAGACAAGTTTTGTGTTTTTCTTTCAGGTGGTTTGCTCTGGCAGAGATTCAAATATGTATTGTTTTAATACTTTATAAATATGAATGCAGTCTTCTGGACCCATTACCGAAGCAGGTATGTGTTTTCAGAATTTTGAACATTATCATGACCTTCAGATTTGGGCATAAACTGTAACCCCTTGATTTTAGTACTAACCAGGAGCTGAACTGAGCAATTCCTCTACTTCCTTAGCATGTGTCTTAGATGGAACCAGACTGGGAACATGCTTATTCACTTCCATCCAGAATCTAATCTCTGTTCCCTATTACCACATGCCTAAGACCTAACAGTATCCTATCTCTTCAATTGTTAGGGGCTTCTCACAATATTACCCTTTCCTTGGGAAATAGCATGGCCTAAAATTTGACCTTGTTTCCCTATAAAGAAATGTGTTCTGTAGGTCAATAAGTGAATTATGGTTTGGATGTGGTTGTAGCCCTTGGTCCATTTGAAAAGCAACCACATGCAGGAAACCTCTGAGCAGAAAAGAAAAGGCCAGATGTCTTCACTAGCTCTGACCTTCGAAGCTGTCTATCAATCAACTCCTGTGTAGAGATAGTAGCTTCTGAATTGACAGAAACCTCAGAATTCTGCTTCTTGCAGGGTTTGCAAAACACAGGCTACAGGGCCTCATCCCTAGAGCTCCTAATCTCCAAAGTTCCAGGAAGGTACTCTGTGTTCTGATTTCTAACAAGTTACATGTACACCTGTTGCTGCTGGCCTCTGAGTATCACACTTTGAAGACTGATCCCATAGGAAATAAGGAAAAATCTAGTTTAACTCCAAATGTGTGGAAGTCTGTTTGAAAACTCTGGATGAAAGGTGCTATTTAAATAGGCTGAGGCTCAGATATTAAGCATTAAGACATCAGGGCTAGCCATGTGACAGTTTGTACTGAATATATGAATGGGTAAATGAAAGACTCGGGTGTAACTTCAGTGAAGTAAGTGACACAGAAGATACATTATAGATTTGCACACTTTGGCACTTTTCCTTGATTCCTTTTGAAGACCTCTCAAAATCTTACTGTGAAAGGAAAACTAAACACCTCTCATGAACGTTCTCAGCAGCTTACTATGGTGTTGACAAAATGAAGATCAGAACCAGACTTTATAGACCCTGAAAACTAGGTCCTGGAGCTAGAGCTAGGACTCAGTGGTAAAGAGCACTTACTGCTCTTGTAAAGAATGCACCCAAGTTCAGTTCCCAGCACCCATGTCATGCAGTACACAATTGCCTGTAACTTCAGCTCCAGAGGAAGCGATGCCCTCTTTTAGCCTCCAAAGGCATTTGTAGTCATGTGTGCATGTGCACATACATACATGCACATATAAGAGTAAAATAAATTTTATGATAAACAAGTAGCTCTTGGTTGCCCTCCAAACTTGATGGTAAAACCCTATTGCTAGAAAAGCTGCATATGTGAGTTGTAGAACAAACATGGAAAAATCAAACTTGTACTCACTTTAAAGCTTCATCCCTACTGGCTGGCTTGCATAGTTCTGGAAAGTGCTGTGCTTGCTACCAGAAGAGAAAAGTAATCCTCATATTTACCCAACTGTCAACCCTCTGAGCTATAATAAAGACTGGTCTGGCAAGATATGCCCACTGGTGCAATAGTGGCATGACTATTATGGAAGCAACCAACCAATTTCAGATTGTATTTAAGGCCTACTTTACAAGCTGGAACCCATACCTAGCACTGTTATCAGGGCCAAGAACCTGTGGCTACACAGGTCATAGGCCATAGGGGAGGGAGAACCTACTACTGTTATCCTACTAAATGGACATAGTGTTAAAGCAACTCCTAATGATTTGTTAATGTCTCTCTCAACACTCACCAGAGAATCTTCTTCCTGTAGCAGATGGAGATTAATACAGAAATCTATAACTGGTCAAGGTGCAGAGAATAAAAGACTACATAGTACTTGACACTAAATGGAACACCTATAACAAACCCTCTCCTTCCAAGGCTTGGGGATCACTGTGCATGAGGAGGCAGAAAGATTATAAGGAATAAAGGTGATAGATAAATACAAGGAAACTTTGTTTTCTGGACACAATAGGACAGTTGCACATGTGAACCCACAGTTCTGTGACAGTATGCACAAGGCTTATAAAGACCCAAGGCAGAGTAAACCCCAGCATGGATTGGGAAGGTGGGCAAGAAGCCCCAGTCCTAGTTTAGGGACTATTGGCAATGGATAATTGTGGAAGAGGAGAATCAGTTTTCTATAAGGGTGTGATGCTGTGAAGGTTTACCATGATCCAGAGGATGGACTCATACCCAAGAACATTTGGAGAACATAGATTAGACTCTATATACCTTAACATAATAAAAGAGGACAGGAAGTGAGGAGAGGGAAGGAGGCAGGAGTGGATCTGAGAGACAATGAGGGAGAGAATCTGAATATGATCAAAATACATTGTATGAAATTCTCATAGAGTCAATAAAATATTATTTAAATAACTTTTTAAAAAAATCTAGGCTGGGCGTGGTGGCACATGCCTTTAGTCCCAGCACTCGGGAGGCAGAGGAATGTGGATCTCTGTGAGTTCAAGGCCAGCCTGGTCTACATAGTGAGTTCCAGGACAGCTGGGGCTACAGGGAGACCCTATCTCAAAAAGACCAAAAAAAAATTAGGCCCTGATTCACCAAGGTAGATGTCACAGTTTTGTCTAGAATGGACTCAACATCTAATTGTTTTTCTCCCAGTAAAGGGTGCAAGAATGCTTGTGTATTCTTATGAGAAAAATGACATTTGTGAAAGCTGTGATCAGTAATTTTGATTGCTTCCATAAGCAAGAGTTTTCTTAGCACTTTCTTCTTAGCTGAAAATTCTTTTGGGTGTATTTAATCTCATACTACCATATGCATGTCTTATTTGTGTTGGGATACCACTAAGAACATTGTTTAAAGAAATGTTAGCTCAATTTTATAAATTGTTCAAGTCCAAGTGAATTCTTCAAAAAGTACTTTATTACATGAGTCTCACTCTAGGAAGAGAAAAATCAGTGGAAAATTTGTAGTTATTAGAATTATTTTAATTATAAAATGAGTCAATCAAAAAGTATAGGAAATGATCCTCAATTTATGAACTGCTTTTAGACATTACAAGGGATCTTCTAAAAACCCTGTTGTCAAGTGCAGAGAAGCCAATGTTCTTGGAGACTCATTCCCCACTTAGTGATTTCCTTGCAACATCAAAAATCAAATACGAGAACCCCAGGTTTGAAATAGTCCACTGTTGCTTTTTAGTCCTTTTTTTTGTGAGGTACTAGGGATTGAACCACTGGGCTTCATGAATCCTAGGCAAATGCTGTGCCACTGAGCTATGCCCCCTGCCCCATGGTATTTTATGCATTCTCTACAGGTCTTAATAAATTTAGTTTCAGTGTCTTCCCATTATGAATCAAAAGACCAACGAGATGCAACAAAACCTGTGTGGTAACACTGTCCCCATGTAGGCAGCAGGACTCTGCTATTTATGAAACCAGTTCTTCACTTGTTCACCAGTTCTTATGAACCAGTCTTCACTTGTTCAGGTGGTTCTGTTTCACTGCATACTTTTTGCATTGTAGATCTTTAGAAAATCTGATAAAATTTGAGGATATCTTTCTGGGAAAGTGCGTATGTCCTCATTTACAATTATGGATTCAACTTCAATGGGCTTATGGGAACTATGCAGTTTATTCCATTAACAGTGTTAAGGATTGCATTCTGTGCCCAGTTGTGTTCATACTTGAGAAAAAAAAAGAGATTCCCTATGCTGGATCTGCTTCTTTCATCGTTCATTGATCCCAATGCCTATGGCTGACAGAACTTTTATTTTCTGTCTCTAAACTTCAGAGCCCTGTTTGTGTTCTCGGCAGTACACTGACATCCCTCCCTCACTACCATGGACTCAGATCTTTCCCTTTCCCAAAACTAGGAAGAAAAGACACAACATTTGTAACATACAAGTTTCCTTGGAAAATCATGATCACAAATTCACTGTGACTGTGGTCTGCCCACAAACTCTGGGTAGTTTCTAAAGCACCTATTACAGGTACCAAAGAGAGCTTAGCTTGTTGCTGATTACAAATAATGTGTGAGGTCCAAGCTTCTCATCCAAGAAACAAGGATCACTGAAAGCCAGGAGGTTGAAGAGAACACAAGGAGTCATAGGCAGAGAAGGCATACTTTACTGGCCCACAGGCTGCCTAGCAGGCAGGTACCCAGACCTATGCAGACCTCCAGGTGATGCATCTATATAGACACACACAAAAGTTGCATTCTGTCAGGGAAAGTTGTAGAAAAAAAATTGCATTACTGTTTACTTTTGGGTTCCCAAGACATCCAGTGTCAGCCATCAATACCTGGCTCACAGTTGCCTAGAATCCAGTACCAGCCATGTTTTAGCTGACTCATACCAAATGCCCATACCAGCACCATGTTGTCTAATCATAAACTGGCCCATTGGGTCTTCTGCTCCCTAAATGAGATGTCATAGCTTTTTACTTATTGTATTCTATTAATCCATATAAAATGAAGGGTGGGCAGTAGGCACGCAGGCATGGGGTGTGTGAAAAAAAAGTGGTTATTAGAATAAAGTACCCCCTTTTGTTTCTTGAATGGAGGACTAAGGTTGATATTTAATATTTTAAAACTCATCAATGAAAACACTTCGCAACCTTCCAAACCTCCCCTCTGTGCCTTTTAGAAGAAACTGCAATTGAATAAGCCTTAGATAAAAAACTATTGGTTTCTGTCTGTTAATTTCTGTATTTCTTCTACATTTCTACTTTAGAGTTGTCTCCATTTGGTGGGTGTCCCCCAGCCGGAAGGGCAATGCCGAATTGAATACAAAAAAAGGACATGATATCTTCTGGCACTCAAGAGGACTAGAACCTTCTAGAAAAGTGACATTACCCATCCAGTATCCTGGCAGCACACTGACCTGAAGCTATCCACATGGCACACGTGTTTGGTAATTTGAAGACCAAGCATCTTGTATCACTCTAAATAATCGAGAGAAACCCCAATTCATGGTTTAGAGTAGTATTTAAATGATTTATATAAAAAAACATTTTTAAGAAGTTGGAATTTGGTCTCATACATAGTTATAATAAAACTCCAAACAAAAATGCCATTTGAATGGAAATATTGGTACATTGAATTCACTGTGAATGTAAATTTCTGCTTTGAAAAGACTGAGGATTGGGACGTTGAAAAATCAAGTAATGATTCCTAGAACTAGTCCATTTAAAAATATGATTCTTAGAATTCTTAGGTTCATTAATGTCAATTATTGTAGACATATCTAGGGGTAAGAATTATGAATAAAATGGTAGTTTCTTTTTTTAAGACCTGTGAGGACAGGGTCTTGTACTATATTCATTTCTACATTACATTAAGCCCAGAGCAGCATCTTTTCTGTAAGGAATAGCTAATCAATATAAGTTGACTTGGGTATTGATTTGTATTTTAATTAAAGCAAAATAACTCTTTTGATTCAAAGTGTTTTAATTATGATTTGACAGAGACAATATTTTTGCTAATGTGCAAAAATACCCATCTAATGCTGTGCCAAGATAAGTAACTGTACTTGAACCTATTGCTTAAGTCTAGGACGAGGTGATATTTTCCATAAAACCTATCACAGTCACAAGAAACATATGACACTAATAATGAATAATGACATCATCATTTATCCTCTGTATCCCGTAAAATTCTTCTTTGTCACCTCTGTTTCTTGGTAATCTTTATAGTGAACGATGTCCTCTGGGCTTATGTACTTCCCTGTCCTGGCATCAGCTCCTGAGGTTAAGAATGATTTAGTTGTCTATTTCTTAACAAGCACATGACTCTCTGGGAGAAAATTAAATCCTTTGAGAAACATTATCTCTTTGAAACCAATATAGTGATTTGAAGCTTAGCTATTCAGAACTTACCTACTAGACACAATAGTCTGGAGTCTGAAAGGGCTGAAGAAGGCAATGTAGAAGTCTACAGTGGCTCAGCCTTGCAACCATAACATGGCAGGTTCTGCTAAATATGATAGCTGTATTCTGAGGGAAGGCATGTCCTGCAAACATCTTAGGGCCAAAATGAAGCACTGTGTCTGCATATAACATTCATGTGAGCTAAACCACAGTGACCCAAAGTTATTGTCTATTTGCTTATTCTTGCTATGTAGGAACCAATGTTAGCTGACCCATGTCTATTCACTTTAACACAGAAGAAGAACAAGAGATCTGTTGGCATCTGGAATAATGAACAGTTAACAGGTGGAGGTCCCATGTTCCATTTTATCTCCCTAGAGTTTTATATCATATGGAATATTCTTATGTTAACTGCATTTTCCTGAAGGCAGAAAGAGCCTGTGACTGATCTGTGTATAGATAGTTTATTTGGGAAGCAGAAGAAAGATGTCGTAAAGGTGCTAGTTAGCAGGTGATGTAATGAAGCATCAGGGGTTCAACTGGGACCACCTGAGAGGACCTCCAGGCATTTTCTGTTGAAAGAGTATGAGGCAGGACTGGTTGACTGACTGGCTTCTACTTTGGAGATGCTGCACTGCAATTCTGAGCTACATTGGATTCAGCACATTTACTTGGTCAGAGAAGCCCCAATGTAGTCAAAATAAGTTGAGTCTGAGCTTGCATGGATTTGCTGAGTCCTCTGAACTGTTGTTGAGCAAGGGGATATGATGTGGAGCATCAAGGACATGCAGCACATTGTGCTCTTGGCACCACTTAGATCTGCTCCTATTTCACTTAGCCAAAGCCTACCATCTTCAAAGTGGCTAGCCACCAAAGACAGATTAAATTTGACCTGAACTGCCTTCCATATACATTTTAAGAGAGGCCTAAGGGTTTCTCCACACATGGTGGACTATAGAATTGTTATCTGCTTTATGACCTGCTCTTACAATGTTTAATAGAGTTCAGCCAATCATTAAGTGGCCAAATGATGATGTTCAAATAAGACAGGTGCAAGTTGTACCCAGTCAGACTCCATAACCCTTGTTTTCTGCATGTAGCTTTCTTTTCTTTGGCTACAAATATAACCCACTATGAGGTGGGGTGTAGGATTCTGCACATTTTGAGGTGCAGATTGCTGTCCAACTCTGGAATTGCAAATAAAACTAAGTGCTGCAAAATTATATTTGTTGTAATTTTATAACAGCTCATATAAGGAGATAAAGGGGCTAAAGAGAAGCTGATGACTCCCAAGATTCCTTGAGAAACACAGAAGAGGCTCCTCTGAGCCCCTGGAGGTCCTCTACCTTCCTCCTGGAGTCAGAGGGCTGGTGGAGGTGTTTCTTCTTGGCAGGACTCAGCTGTTTACACTGAGTACTTGATCTTCTTTTGGCTTTCACTGTTCTGACTTTTGAGTCTGGGTCCCATTTGCATCATGAAGAGACTCTTTTACCATTGGAAGTCCCAACAGAAACTGGAGTGGTTTCAAGATTGCATTGGGTTCAATATGAAATTGGATTGGATCCAATTGGAGGTCTCAGATATCTAACTGGATAAGACAAACTGGCAGTAAGTAAAACTTACTGTTGCAGGAGATGAAAACCATGGCTTTCAGAATTAGCAGGCACTTAGTGCTCTAGTCTCTTTTATTTACTTACACACTTAGGTGTAAGACAAACTTTTGAACACCTGACAAATCAAGAATGTGAAATCAGAACTATAAGATCTGCATCTGTCTGTCTGGGCTGTGTACCTTCATAAATGGGACATGTAAGTTGGCATATTAATATACCCAGAAGGACTCTATTCAGCTGACTTAATAAAATAAAACTTAAATGTTTGATTGTAGTTATTAAAAACAAACTTCTAAATAAAATCTGGATGTATTACTTCAACCACCCTCCTAGCTCTTTGATACATGAGGATGTAGTGTAAGAGAGAGAAATGGGTGAGAGTGAATTCCTTCACACTTAGCATTCACAAGAGCAGAAAGAAAAGCTTGTCGATTGATGGTTGGATTTTAGTTTCTTTGCCTCTGTAATGTTTGTATTTGTTGGGTTTTATAAAACAGGGTCTTCTGTAGCCAGGCTGGCTTTGAACTCACTGTATTCCTAGGGCTTGCTTTGAACTACTGAATCCTCCTGAATCTACACCTCAAATCCTAGGATTACAGGATTTGAGGTGTAGATGCACAAACAAGTCCAGCTACCTCCTTGATGTTTTTGATACTTGTGTAGTTTTTCAGTGAGCTGAGACTACGGGACCAGCTGCAAGGACCCCATAAGCCTTGCAGTCATTTTATACAAGCTTGTATATTTGGTTTTGAGTCTCTGAGAGCTGAGAAAATGGTCAAGTGATGCCTTGGTACATGGATGTTTCTATGGCACCTGTGGTGCCACCCACCAGGTGAACCAGACCTCGTACAGCCACTCTGTCTTTTCTGCCCAGACCTGCTTTCTGGCCATGCTAGAAATTGTTGGGTCAAATCTAGGCATCATCTTCACAGCTACCTGCCTTCCTTCCTGGTATACTCAAAGACCTACCCAGGGTCTTCTCTTTGTAGCTGGTCTATGTACCACATGAGGTTCTAGATCCTAGGACAAACGGGGGATGAGAATGCCTGTGAAGCATCTGTGTTTGTCCCCTCAAAGCATAAAACAAGGGGCTAGAGTGATGGCTTGGTGGTTAAGAGCATATTCTGCTCTTCTAGAGGACCCGGGTTCAAGTCCCAGCAACCACATCAGGTGTCTTACAACCACCTGTAACTCCAGCTCCGGGGGTTCTGTCATATCTAGCCTCTGAGGGCATCTGTACTCACATGCACATACACACACATAAACACACACATTCACGTAATTTAAAATTTAAAAAGTAAAATCTTTTTTAAAAATAAAAAGCATAGAATAAGACTGGCTGATGGAATTTTAGCTTGATTTTGCCATTTAAAAAAAAAAAAACTAAGGGGACTGGAGAGATGACTCAGTGGTTAAGAGCACTAAATGTTCTTGCAGAGGACTCAGGTTTGATTCCCAGAACCCACCTGGTGACTCAACCACATGTAACTCAAGTTCCAGGGGATCTGATGCCCTCTTCTAACCTCCATGAGCATTGCATGATATAGGTTCACTTACATACATACAGGCAAAACACTCATACACATAAAATAATAAATAAAAATTAAAAAATAAGATGTTTAATGAGTAATATGTTTTGTTTTTCACAGCAATTCAAATTTTTCTCAAAACTGAGCAAATTGGGTAAATATAAATGGCATAAACATTTGTAAATTAACATTTTATATTTCAGAATCTTTCTGGAGACTTGAATACTTAAGGTAAAATGTAATAGATGATCATTGTTTTATGTCTGGATTATTTGTAAAAAGTTAAACTATCAAAATGTTAGTTACCAAATGTAAGCTTAAAGTTTACCTCTTTGTCTTCTCGTTTTTATATGATAGAAAATAGTTAAACACATACTTCTAAAATATTAGACTGGACACACCCAACCCTTTAATTTTCCCAATGGATAATTTTAGCACTAGTGGTGCAATTTATGGACCTCTATGTTTTCATGTTTAGCTCAGTCATCAGGATACAAAGATCAAGACTAAGGAGTACTTCACAAAACAGGTCTAGACCCCAAACCAAATAGTCTATGTGCCAGGATACTACAGTGCTGTTCAGCTCACACTCTTACTATCTCAGGTTCCTGGCTAGACAATACTGTTTATACCTCTTGAAGCAAGGTGTCCATGAACAATAGAACTGAGATTTTTGTGCACCTATAGTGTATGCTGTTCTCTGTGGAGGATTTTGTAGCCATCCTTATACCTGGGCAATCTTATATACTGATAGAAGATCAAAGGTCAATCAGCGTCAGCAGAAAGTACAATGGTTTCTCCCTGAGAGGTTATCTAATCCCAAGTGGGAAGTCTTAAATACATGTACATGCAAGCATCACTAAATGGACTTGGTGCATTATTTATATGTATAAGTTTATGGATGTATATGTAACAATAATAATCAAAGAAGAGGTCAAGAAATTGGAGGGAGTTGGGGGCATGAGAGGGTTTGGAGGGGGCCTGGAAGGAGTAGAAATAAAGCAAATACAATAACTCATTGTGAAATACTCAGAAAAAGTATTTAAAAATTAAGAAAAATTAATATATTGTACATGCAAACAAAATTTATAAGGCAAAAAATTAGTAACAGTAAAAATAGAAAGGGGCTGGAGAGATGGCTCAGGTGTTAAGAGCAGAGAACCTGGGTTCGATTCTCAGTACCCACATGGCAGCTAACAACCATCTGTAACTCTAGCTCCAGGGGATCCCAAGCCCCTTTCTGACCTCTGTGGGCATTGCATGACATAGGTGCACATACATTCGTGGAGGCAATACACTCATATACATAAAATGAAAATAATTTTAAAAAATTAAATAATAGAAAATTAAATGGTAACTTTGTTACTCTAGAATCACTTAGAACATAGATCCAGGCTGGGCGTGGTGGCACACACCTTTAGTCCCAGGTAGAGGCAGGTGGATCTTTGTGAGTTCAAGGCCAGACTGGTCTGCATAGTGAGTTCCAGGCAGCTGGAGCTACAGGGAGACCCTGTCTTAAAAGACCAAGAACATAGATCAATTTCTTTTAACACACATAATAGATTATAGGGAATATTGCCTGTGTCCTGGTTAGCTTGGATTATCAACTTAATACAATTTAGAGTCATCTGGGAAGAGGTACCCACAGTTGAAGAGCTGCCTAAAGCAGATTGGCCTGTGGCCATGTCTGTGAGAGACTGTGTTGATTTACGATTGATGTGGATGGACCCGCCCCACTGTGGGTGGCACCATCTCTGGGCAGGTGAGCCTGAGCTTTGAAAGAAAGTTATCTCACTGACCCAGTGACCCAGAGTGAGCCAGTAAGCGGTTTCTGCTTCTGTTCCCACCCTGACTTCCCTGAGCGGTGGATTGTGACCTGGGAGTGTAACCTGAAATAAACCTTTTACTCCCCAAGTTGCTTTGGGTCAGAGTGTTTTATCAGAGCAACAGAAAAGGAACTATATCAGTGAGAAACCATTAGCCCTCTGAACAGTCTATTTGTAAGATCCTTTTCATGTCTTGGTGTAAATAAGATAAGGCAGTGGGGATTTATCCTTTGCAATAGGCTATATAATAGATCCAGACTACTCTTTCACAATAGGCTTTTGTAAAGCCTCTTGCTAAAGTTGTGTTAGATAATAGATTTGCTGTAGATTGCTTTTGGCCAAACATGGAGGACTCTGGGTAGATGGTGCGTCTTGTACATGTGGATATTGCAGAGACTCAGTTACAGGTTGACGTGGCAGATCGTTCTTCATCTGACTCATTCTTGGATCAGCTGGGGTTTTGGTTGGCAAGGTCCATGTGGTCCTTTATTAATAAGTACACTCCTTACTATCTTCTTGATAGTTATAACAGCAATCTGAAGTTTTAAATATTTGCATGCAGCCAGACATAACACATCAAATGATCCTGCTGAGGCTAAAAGACAAAACTCAGTCAAATGTGTGATCAAGAGGGCACCACAATGCATGACTGACATCTTGTGACTGGGAACCCATGCTAATGTGCCACGTTCTGGTCATGTTCTTCCCCAAAGATGGGAGACTCTTAAAATTAAGGACTGCCATTGATTTGAGATCCCAAATTAGGTCAAGCTAGCCAAACTATAAATCAATCACTTGTGTTCGAAGGTCAGCCAATCAAACTGAAGCTTTACAGAGGCAGGTAATGCCCCAGATTGTTTTATCCCCTAGAAATAAGAAACTTCTGCCTATCCAAGTCAGCATGGTAAGGAAATCCCTTCTGTGTTGACCAGTCTAAAAGAAAATTAAGAACAAAAAGAGGAAGGGAGGGAGGGAGGGAGGGAGGGCATGCTGAGGCAACCTGATGTTATCCACTCTATTTAGGGACCTTGTCTAATTTAACTTGTTTGGTTTGGCATATTTTCTGTTTCCTTCTTCCCACCTGACAAAACCCACTGCTCTATTTCCCATTTACAGTGGTAACAAAGTGGTAAGAGTACCCAGCTTCAAAATTTCGAGGTTGACCAAAAAGAGGAATTATTCAAGTTCACGTAAAACTGGCATCATAAATATTTTAAGTTTAGCTTAATGATGAGCTGTAAACTCACTTGCAATATGTCTGCAACTTATTTTTCTTACAAGGAACGGAACCCCAACCAACCCTAAATTGCCAACCGTTTAAAACATATACAGATGAGACAGATGTGACCTGCAACCAGTAGGGTCTACCTTTACCTCATTTCTCTGTTCTGGATCACTATTTTTTTCTTTCAATAAAAATTGCCTACAGAATGATTCACCTTTTGCATAACCCTGAGAGTTATGCAAGATCATGTAACTACTTTGGGTTAATAGTATGTATGTAAGTGGTATCAGGTGGCAATTCCAAATGACTATATATTGACCCTGTTCATTTCCCTCTAAATTGTGATAGAGGAGCTGAGCAGGAACCCAGACTGTCCCTCAGTCTGGCTGCTCCTGGTCAGTGAGGAGGCTAAAAATACTCTTACAGTCCATACTGAGACACAGTGTGAGTGACAGACAGTGATGTTTACTATAACACCATCACCTAATTATCTGGACAATTTTGGAACTGAAAATTTCTAATTCCTGCTCTTTGTAGTTTTAGTTCTCTTTCTTCTAATCTGGTTTCATTAGTAACAGGAGTGTCTAACCTTTTGATACAATGGTATGATGTTCCCATCTAAAAATGTGTTGGGCCGCATTTCTATGTAACCTAGGACACTTAGAGAGGAACACATTTGTTTCAAATGCTGAAGTTACTAAAATGTTTTTATGAATATGTTATGAAGTGATGTTAAAATCATATCA